AATTATTAATGAACGCTTGTGTGCAAAAGGTTACTATACAATTAATGAGTTTATGATCGATAGCACACCTTGGGAATGAAACGATCGCCTCCTGGCTATTTCATCTCATATTAAATTGTTTATATAATATATGAGACAAAAAACCCGCTGAGTTTCTTTCGCCAGTTGTTCTCAGGTCAGGGTATTTTCTTTTCCGAACCGGTGGTAGTGTCTCAAGTGACCATCAATAAGAAAGTGTAATACTTCTATATTTAAAGTTATTTGAGTTGAGTTGAATTGGGTCATCATGTCAATATTCCAGAAATAAGAACTGTTTCTGACTTTGACGGTGTAGTTGTAAAAATACTTCTCATTCATATACTTTACATTCACTCTCTCTGGAATAATTTCTAAACGCTGTAAAAATTATAGATATTTTACAATCGTCTTAATATTATTTTCATATTCACTTTTTGTACATGCAAATTAAAAATTAAGGTAAAAATTACTCAGACTCCTTATAAACTGTTCATTATCTATTGAAAAAATTAGAAGGTATCGGAGTATAATGTATTGAGTGTGTCTTTTTATCTTCTATTTTACACCCTTATATAATTCGATACAGCATTGTGAAATTGCAAGAAAATTAATTAATATTGTTCTTATTTCTATTTTTCAGGATCAATAAAGATGAAAAGGAATTGTACTTACACAGTAAACTGTATATATTGAACATGTTGTCTGTTGTTTCGGAAAATGACACCACTTTTAAATTACTACGTTTTTTTATATATTTGCATAATGAAACATTATTAGATGCATTTCAAATTATGATTCACTTTTAATGGTATTTTTAATATACTTAATTGGTGTTAGTTATAGGTAAATTTATGGGGGGATCAGCCACATATTTTAATTTAAGGTACTCAGCTTCTATTGGGTTTTGGAGGCCACAATATGTAGAGTGAAGTATTTCCTCTTCAGAAGTGGGTACATGTCCGGACAGCGGTTAAGGGTCTTCGGTGCGTTTTCGATCCCATTGTGTCAATAGCGAGTCTCCGCTGAATGTAAGTTTGAAACCTGCTCGTGTTAATGAATTATTCATTTTATACTTTCTATTGTAATATAAATTCACATAGGTTAAAAGTTGCTTTAATGTCAAATACAATTATTATAAACATATTAGTAAGTAATAATAAAAATGACATTGTATAAAGATTCAATCATAGTCTATTGAAATCTTGCAAAACAAAGGGGCAAAGTATCTAATAATTATTTTATATATATTTTTGTGTTCCCTGACAACAAATTAAACCTGCAAAATCCGTCCGGGACTTCCAGCTTCCACCAGTCATCAGCGCAGCTTCCACGATGTTTGGGGCCAAGCGCTGGAAATGTTCCAGATACCTCAATCGACCGTCCAAGACGAGCGACATATATTTGAAACATTGAACAACAATAATGGCTATACCACTACAATAATCTTACTATCCGGTGGCGACCGATTGCTAGGCAATGAAAAGCAACTGCCTTAGATTTATAAAGAGCGACACTGAGCCCCAGAGCGTAAATTCTGTGCACCATCTGCTACACTCCATCCGTACTACTACCGTTGAGAGGTATCATTACTACCACCAGTTCGTGTCCTCATACTAAACACAGAGCTTCTTATTAATAATTTAATGTTGATTTATCATTGAAAAACGTAAATGATCCATATTTATGACACAAAACTTTGTTTGAAATTTGTTAAAATATGAATGTGGTTAATTTTAAGCTCTCCTGGTTATTAGGATACTAAGTTGCAAAACCTCAATATATCTTGTAGACTTCTTGTTTTCGTTTTTTCATCATAATGCCTTTTCTTATGTTAGTGTGTTATAAATACTTATGCACTTATTTCTTTTACAGATTGTTCAAATAGGAAGTTTGCAAATATGATTGTTATTTGGACGACGTCGCTCATTATTGAACTTCAATTGTTTAAATAGTTTAATAATAAAAAATAAATATGTGATAATGAATAAAGGAGAAAATTTTAAGGTTTAATTTATTTTTAAAAATTTTCGCTATCATGACTAAGTTGAACTAAGTTATAACTTGAAGTATAAGTATTTATATAAATTACACAATTCCAAAAAAGTTGAACACAATTCAAAATATTATTTTATTGAAATAAAATTAAAGCAGTACATACTTTTAATGTATTATAAAATGGTGAAATCAATTTTGGGAAAGAAACTACAATAAAAGATTGTTTGAGAGGTCCTGAAACAATCAGATCTCTATATTTTCTTTAAACAACATTGTTATTAATTTTAACAAATTCAGTGTTATATTGGTGTATAATAATTTATCCTTCCTGAAAACCTTAAAGTTACTTTAGATTAAAAATTAACTTCAAGATTTATTATTTTTAAAAGAAACGTAATAATATACTAGCAGCATAGTTTCATTGGTAGCTGTGACCGTGCATTCTGCGTCTACTCGACTCTTTTGTATCGGGAATACGTTAGGAAAATCGTCCAGGGAAAAGCTAACGTTTTTTGTTCGTAACGTTCCCTAAAATTATTAAATATGATATTCTGAAATATATAAACAAGGAAATTCTATTTTATAATTAATACCCACCCCGGGAAATGGGCATTTCCATCCTAATTTTCGAAAAAGTTTTCCAATAAATTTATCATCCTTGGCCAAATCGCAGAACCTAAAGTGCAATTCGACGAAAGATCTTCGATATTCATTATGAAGGAACTCGTTAAAAATAAGATGAATCTAGAAACAGATTTTGTTTACTATGAAATAGTTTCTTTTTTGCAAATCATCAACCTATAAAAATGTAAAACATATAAACAATTATGTATATACTTTAAGTTAAGTTTAATATCAGGAGGTTTTCAACCTTAGAACCTTTTCCTGCAAATAGCAAACCGTTTCGTTGGTTTTGGATGTTTCAATGCCTTGCAATTAATAATTATACCAGAAAATAACAAATCATTGCATTTAATTTACCGGTAACATGTATCTATTTTTAAATTTATTTTTATGTACGATTGGAGAAATTCATTAATTAAATTTAGCTGGAATAAAGGCTTACACATTACGACAGGTACTTTTATTATTGTTTATATTAAAACTGGATGTTTTTTTTTAACATAACACCTAATGGTAAAAAGAAATACAGGCTGTACTCCCTACTTCAGTTACCCAAAACTAAAAAAAAAACCTGAAAGTCATCCAAATTATTGGTAGGTACTAGGAAACACATTATCAGACAACTTATTATAATCCTTTGTTATGGGCATGTCATAATGGATGATGGGTCATTGATTGTGATGCATGGAGGGATCTTCTAGCTACATCCAGGTGTGATGAAGATGTACAGGAGGATGGTGACTTGCCACTCATTTGGCTGTATTTAAATTGTGACACTGATCTTAACAGTGTTAGGTGTGGAACAAAAAATAACTATTACAAAATCAAAACATTAAAAAAACTTTTTTTGAATAATATTTTTGCTTGATTAATAATAATTTGAAGTGAATTATCAAAAACAGTGGAGGGATGATGGAAACTGATATTTATAAATGATAGTACATATTTAAAGTAAATTTTAGTTTTACCAACCGTCACATTATTATTCCATTCTTGTTTGGTCGTCATGTCAATATTAAAGAAATAAGCACTGTTCCTGCTAGCCCTCCGAACTTTGACGGAGTAATTATAAAAATACTTCTCATTCATATATATAATACTCACTCTCTCCGGAATAACTTCTAAACGCTGTAAAAATTATAAATATTTTACAAAGGTCTTAATATTAATTTAATACTTACTGCAATAATATTGATTTAAAAATATGGCAGAAAATCCTTATTTTACATATTATTATTTATATAGGAATGGAGTGTAATGTAATGCGTGTGTCTTTTTATCTTATATTTTATACCTGTATATAAATCTATACGACCGTGTCAAATTGCAACAATTAATTAATATTTTTCTTATGTCTTTTTTGCGGGATATATAAAGATGGAAAGGAATTATACTTACACAGTAAACTGTATATATTGAACATGTTGCCAGTGCTAAAAGGACTTGTTTAAGCATTTTAACTGTTTCAGAAAATGATACAACTTGTAAATTACTACGTTCTTTTCATTCAAATGATATATTTGCATAATGGAACATTATTGGATGCATTTCAAATTATGATTGACTTTTAATGGTATTCTTTTAATATACTTAATTGACCAAAGTTATAGATAAATTTATGTGTGGACTTCAGCAGCAGCTGCAATCGTTCTTCGTTTTTTTTTACTTGTTTTCAAATATATATATTTTTTAGAATATAAGCGGGTCTGCCTTTGTATTAGAATATATCGCCAGAGTGAATGACTGGTACTTTAAAGATTCTATTTGACTTGGTGAGAAAAGAAGTTTCAGCAGGTTTAATTTTATTGCCAAGAAACACACACTCCAAAATTTACTTAAAATGATTAAAAGAATTTTTGAACATTTTGCTTACATGATTTTGATAAAGAATGATTGAATCTTTATAAAATGTCATTACAACATAGAAATAATTTTATTATAATGTTATTTAACGTTAAAGCAATGTTAAACCTACCTTTGAATTTAAATTACAATAGAAAATATAAAATGAAAAATTCATAAACACGAGCGAGTTTCAATCTTCCAGCCTGCGAATATTCACGTTTGGTTTGCTTTTCCAATTAAGTTTAAATGCCCGGACCCAAGTCCGTTCCGATATCACGGTTGCAAATATAAAGTATATTGGGATTAGCTTCTTTGCTGAGAAATTTTGGAATTTGTTTTATGTTTGTTACCTTTTAAAATTAAAGTATGGGTAGCAGAACCCTCCGCCAAACTCTTAATCCGACTGTGGTCTGCCAAATATTGGCAGAATCCGTCTGGGACCAGCTTCCACCAGTTATCACCTCCCACCATCATTGGGGGCAAGCGCTATAAATGTTCCAAGTGCGTCCATAGACTGTCTATGACGTGCCCCAGGTATTCAATACAGGGTCCAATGGCCACGGGTGTACCATCCACAACAATCTTATTATCCGGTTGGGACTGATTGTGAGGGTGATGTAAAGCAGCTGCCTCGGATTTATGAAGATCGACGCTGAACAGCAGAATACTAAGAAGCAGCAGAACTTCTGTGCACCATCGGCAACACTAGTTCCGTTAAGAGGCATTACTATCACCAGTTCTTGTCGTCATACTAAAAACAGAGCTTCTTATCAATAAATAATTCTATACTGATTTTTAATTGAAAATGTAAATTTTGATGATACAATAACTTTGGTTGAAATTCATTCAAAAAGGAATATGGTAAATTTCAAGTCTTCCTGTCAATTTATCTTATAGACTTCTTGTTTTCGTTCTTTTGATTATAACACCTTTTCTAAGCTGGTCTCCATTTCTTTAGTCTATTATTTATACTTTGGCGTAATTCTTTTTTATGCTATGATTTCATTCGCACTGGAAGAGTGGTACAATCTGGAAATATTCTGGCAATGCCAGATTGTTCAAAAAGAAAGTTTGCAATAAAGATACATGGTAGTTATTAGGACAAAGTCGCTCATTATTATTGTACTTTTATTGTATAAATAGCTTATTTAAAAAAATGTAATTACGTGAGAATGAATAAAGGAGAAAATTTTAAGGTTTCTAATATTGTATTTCTGAGCTTAAAGTATCATGAATTTTGAAATACATATTTCTATACAATAGTTTCTTATATTTCTTATAATCCCTATAATTAAGAATAGAGAAGTTATGAATCCAAACAAAACTCAAAAATCCCGTATGAGTGAAATTGCTGACCAGTCAGTCACGTCCTAGAGCTATTGATAGGTACAATGAAACCTCATCTGTTGAAACATCTCAACTGTATACGATAGTTTCATAATGGTATCCAAGAAACCTTCTCCATGTGATAAAGAGGCCTTTGCTTAGCAGTGGGCTCTGGTAGGCTGATGACGAATCCAAAAAAGGCTCAAATAAAAATATTAGTTAAAACATATGTATCGAAAGTATCGGGCACGTTGCAAGCACGAATAGAAGAAGAACGGTCAGGCTGATACTCGTAAAAGAATGGAGTAAGTTGGTGGAGGTCTTCCGAATTGACAAAAGGACTTACAACAAATGAGGGCGCACGAAGTATACAAACAATTCTTTAAGTATAGTACAACAGCTCCATAGTGTAATTGTCGGAATAATATAAATGATTACTATTTTTATTATTGATATTTTAACTAACTGTATAAGTATTTACATAATATAATATTACAAAAAGATGAATATCGTTCAAAATATTGTTTGTTTTAAATAAAATTAAAGCAGTGATTTTGGTTTATTATAAAATGGTGTATTGATATGAAAACGTGAAGTAGGTCCTGCATGTTTAATAATTTGGGGAAGGAACAGATGAGAAATTTCGGGATGGAAACTTCAATAAAAGATTATTAGAGAGGGTTTGAAGCAATTAACTCTCTATATTTTCATTAAACAACATTGTTTTTAATTTAAACATATAATTGTATATAATTTATATATTTTCTGAAAACCTCAGCGTTGCTATAGATAAAAAATTAGCTTCCTGATTTATTATTTTTAAAAGTAATGTAGTAATATACTTGAAGCATAGTTTCATTAGTAGCTGTGATCATGCATTCAACGTCTACTCGACTCTTTTGTATCGGAAACACATTAGGAAAATCGTCCAGGGAAAAATTAATGTTTTTTGTACGCTTTGTTCCCTAAAATCATCAAATATCAAAGTTAGAAAAAAGAAAATAGAAAATAGAAAATTATATTTTATTGTTGATACCCACCGCGGGAAATGGGCATTTCAATCCCAATTTTTGGAAGAGTTTTCCAACGAATTTATCATCCTTGGTCAAATCGCAGAATCTAAAGTGCATTTCGACGAAAGACCTTCGATATTCATTATGAAGGAACTCGTTAAAAAGAAGATGAATCTAAAAACAGAATTACGAGATTGGGTCAAAAAAATTGCGAAATGGGGGTTAATAAGTAAGAAACAAAATTCAAAATTATTTTTCCTTAAAATTATTATGTATTCTTCATTAAATCTAATACATTTATTGGATCGATCAATTAATTTATTTATGCCTTCTAAAAATAAAAACATATTTTGTCTATGTCGTCGAAATAGGCCGAAATTGAGTTCTCCACCTCCTCTCCGCTTGAAAATTCCTTCCCTCGAAGCCTTCTTTTCATTTTTGGGAATAAATAATCACTTGTGGTTAAATCTGGATTATAGGGTAGATTTTTCAAGATTTCGAAACCCGCTCTTTGTATAGCAGTATATCGTGCAAGTTTTTCAAGCCACTTCAGGAAAGCTCTTATGACTTATACTTTGTAGTCAAAAGATATTAGGTTGACTAGAACCATTCCTTTCATTGGTTTTACTTATACTTGCACCATCATTTATCTCCGTATGATCAAATATCACATGTGACAGCTTCTATTTGACTGCCCCAAACCTTCTATGGCATTATGTTCTTCGATATTATGCTCTTCTATCCTTGCATGTTTCTGGCTTAATGCGTACTCTTTTTTTTGTTTATATTAAAACTACATGAAGTTTTTTTAAGATAGCACTTAATGGTAAAAGGTAACAAAGTTGTTGCTCCCTAACTCAGTAACACAAAACTTATAAAATTCCTGAATATTCGTGCTAGGAAACATAATATCAGACAACTTATTAAAATTATTTGTTACAGACATGGGATAATGGATGATGGGTCATTGATTGTGATGCATGGAGGGGTCCTATAGCTTTTATCCAGGTGTGATGTAGATGTACAATGGAGGATGGTGACCTGCCACTCATTTGGCTGTATTTACTAAAATTAAGATATTCTTAAGCTATTCTTAACAGAGTCAGGGGTGTACAAAAAAAAATTACAAAATCAGAAGAATTAAAATTTAGTTTTTGAATAATAATTTCAAGTAAATTGCCAAAATCTTTATAGGGATGATGGAAAAGGTATTTATTTATAAATTATACTAACTGAAGTAAATTTTGTTATTACCAACCGACACATTATTATTCCATTCTTGTTTGGTCGTAATCTCATTATTAAAGAAGTAAGCACTGTTCCTGCTAGACCTCCTGACTTTGACGGTGTAGTTATAAATATACTTCTCATTCATATAATTAACGGTCGCTCTCTCCGGAATAACTTCTAAACGCTGTAAAAAGGAGAGATAGTTTACAATGGTCCCAAAACTAATTAATACTCACTACTTTGCAAATTAAAAATTTATTTAAAAATATCTCAGAAACTCCTTATATATTTTCATTATCTATCGATAAATTTAGAGAGTATCGGAGTATAATGTATTGTGTGTGTCTTTTTATTCTATATTTTACACTTCTATAATTTAGACTATATGAAATTATAAGAAAATTGATTATTATTGCTATTATTTTTTGCAGGATGTGTAAATGTGAAAAAGAATTATACTTACACAGTAAACTGTATATATAGAACATGTTGCCAATGCTAAAAGGATTCATTTGGACTGTTACAGAAAATGTTTTTTTAATACTAATGGTATATTTGCTAAATAAAACATTAATAGTTGCATTTCAAATAATGATTGACTTTTAATGGTGTTCTTTTTAATATACTGTGTATTGTGATAAATAATTGGTTAATGTTATAGATAAATTAGTGTGTGAAATTCAGTAGCAGCTACGAGAGGCTTTAGATAAGTTTCAAACGTTTCTTTACACTTTAATTATCACAGTGACTTCCAGAAACGAGGGTTTTTACCCTAAACAGCGTGACAAGTTTCCCACAGTGCACTGCCCGGCTTATACTTTCACTGCTTTGATCGCCAGCTGGTTCTTGTCCCGCTGTAGCTAATTATGTCTTAAGCAGCCTTCTAGCGGTTGTGAGAGTTCGGCTTGGTACACCAAACAGTATAGAGTAGTGCAGATTTGAGATATAAAATTTAATAAAACACGCTGTAGTGTCATGTTGATGTTGTCATCATGAGTTTTTAATATTTTTTATTAAATTCACCATAATTTTAAATATTTAGCAATTTATTATGCAAACAAGTAAACAAGCCATAACTATAAAATTAATTATTATTATCATCATCATCACCGGCCTATCGGAGCCCACTGCTGATCAAAGGCCTCTTCTCATCAGGATAAAGTTAGAGCATTGATCACCACGCCTGCTCAAGACGGATTAATGATTTTAAACTTATATTGTGAGGAGGATAGTTTTCTATAGATAGTTTTCACATCCTATGTATTTAGCTAGCATGACTGCTTCGCAGAAGGATGAACACGGCTTCCCAGTACCTCTCACGGCGCAGCATGGTCTGAACTCATGCCGGGCGCTAGAAGTTGCCGCCACGGATCGCTTTCCTGGGAACACGATAGTTCTCAGGACAAGCAAGGCACATCACCACCATATACTTCACAAAAAATCTCATAGTCTAGATCAGGGGTCCCCAAACATATTTTGTCTACTACACTTTAGAGAATAAATTATTTTTCTTTTTCATCTACTAAAAAAAATACCTACATGAATTAAAAATCACCTAAGAATCTTCTATTCTACGTACCTATTTTTCTGGGTCGCTAACAACCTCTTTTAGGCTCTTAGCGCCCAGAAGAGGGCGCTTCACATTCTTCACAATCTACGGGACTTTAAGGTAAAATAAAAAGAGGAATAAGAATTTATGTAGTTTTATTTTCTTTTTGTAATTTAATTGATTATAGGAAGTTTTAACATTATTTTTTATGATTGCAGTTACAGACAATTTTTAGTTATATAGACAGTAAGATAAAATCGAATTATGAAGTTTTTTTGTCATCCTTAAGTAACATTTCTCAAACTAATCAAATGTCATACAAGTGTTGTGTTGTTGTAATTGTTAGGAACTTGTTATTTCGGAAAGAACGATCAACGATTATACTCGTCACAGTCTTGAGGCGTATCTACATATATTGCGTAGGAGTGTCAGCACGATGAGTTGGCATTCCTGGTTGGCTATAGGGTTTTGTTATGAGGCGTCACACCAAAGATGCTTGACAACGAGGCCTTTTGCGTCGCCGTGGCTCCATTCTACGAGCAAGTCAATACATAATTTTAAACAGCTTGCACTGCGTTCTACTTGATGGAAATAATAAAAGAAAATAATGTGAAAATTTATGCACTTCACCTCATTTAAAAAAGAGATAAAATTTTAGGAAAAGCCTGTCAATATATTAGGTAAACATTATTGTTTACTACAGAAGAAGAGACGAAGTGTTCCTAATTACGTAGGGTGGCAACCGGAGGTTCCAGGAAAACTACTATACATACTTATAAATTTATTAAAATAAGAACTACATATTAAAACTTATAACCTATATCTAAGACTACATTATTGCCCCGATGTTATGATGACAATGACATTCTATTACTAGTATTGTGTAAGAAATCTCCTGGTTCACACGGCTTGGTGTTTGTTCCGCGGAGTCAACGGCGTCACTCGCTATATGCTATTTTACCGATACAAAGATTTCGCACCGGCGATGTTCATTTATTTCCTCATAAGTATCACGTACGTAACATCCTTCTAAATTTATAATATAAACAAAAGTAACGACAAGAAAAAAGTATAAAACTATAAAATATGCCCAAGTACTTATGTATATAAATATTTATAGCCTAATGAGTTATATAATGTTTCATTAAAAACAAATCATAATTTAGACATCAATCGCTACAATACATTCATTAAAACCTAATATACTTTTAAACATATTTAAATTCATTTCCCTATGTGTCACTTGGCATACTTGGCTATGGCTGTACAATAATAAATATGTCTCTAATGTATATACAAGTAGCTGTTGGTCTGTCATGTCTTACTTTTGTAGCATATTGTGTATGTTGAGTTACAAAACGTAAGATTAAGACGTTCTTTTGAAAATGTATAACTTTATAAATTTCTTTCTAGGGATTGGAAGTAATACCGGAGAGGATGAAGTTGGTGCATCTAAACGATAAATACTTTTATAATTTTAGCGTTAACGTAAAAAGATATAGCAGAAGCAGTCCTTACTACATGAACATTGAAATTACGACGAAACAGACATGGACTAATAACGTTACGGTTTGTTAAGATTTTAATAATAATATATAAAACACCATTTATTGTTAAAAAACATTAATATTAGTAAATGCAATAATTTTCAGTTGCACTTTACTTTTAATGAGTTTCTTCACAACGATTACCGTCGATCCTTTGTTGAACTACACCAAAGGTTTTGTGACATGGTTAAATATGACAAATTTATTGGACCTGTCATGAAACACGTTGGATTTGAATGCCCAATGCCACCTGTAAGTAAATAAATGTAAATTAATAAACAAAATTCTGCTTATTTTAAACTAAAGAGAATATCGTAAAATAATATAGCCAGTAAATTTAATGGATTATTTGAGAAAAAACCGTTACCGTCACTAACATAACTTACATATTTCAACACGTTCCATATTATTTTAAAGTGGAACTGAAATTCTTCTAAATATCCTTGTATTTCTTGAACTCAACTGTCGTACGTCCAAACGTCGTATCTATAACAAAATTAAAACATAATATGTACTTCTATTCTCCTCTTAAAAAGGTTTTGATTTCGTTTTACTGTAAACAATAATTATGACTAATAATACGTTTTGATAATAATTGATGACACAAGTTATTGTTATATTGCATTCATCATTGCTGCTGATAGCGCCGATATATATACTTCGTTTATAAGTTAAAAAATAATAATACAATTTTATTTTTCAGCGTACAGTGCGAATGACCAATTTCACATTGCCTCTGGATAAATTTCCTAATGTGCTACCATTTGAGAAATGTCGTTTTGACGCCGAAGCAACCCTCACGGAAACTAATGAATCATTAGCCTTGGCGTATAACTATGTAACTTTCAAAGTTACTCATCATACGTAAATTATTTAATAACAGAGTTTAAAGCTATACATATTTGTTTTCTTTCTATAACAAAATTTTCATAATAATCTTCTTCAAAGGATATATTTCAAAACCTAAAATCATGCATAAACATTTATTGCTATTATTACTGGGAAAAGATTTTATAGTGCTGATTCATTTCATCCCACTACGACAGCGCGAAAGACAGTCTTTTACTCTTATTAGTCCAATCAAACAGACATTCCAGTTTGCATTGAACATATAACTATCATGTTTTCAATAAATTCAAATATTTCTCCTATCTCTGAAGTAACAGAATCTCATCTTCTTCAAAGGTGCTGCGCTTTTTTCATTCCAGCAGTTTTATCTGCTCCACTGCAACAGAACAAACAGTATTTATTGAAACAAAAAGACGATTTATTACCTCTTGCTCTTGTACGAGGACTTATCCCAGATGTGGTAGCTATCTTTGTCTCACGCTGTCTTTGAGCTGCAACGATGCTGCTCTTCTTGCTTTACGACACTAATCATGTATCAGACATATGTTTTGTCCTTCAAATATTCATCCAACCCATTACCCCTTTCAGTACTTGAATCCATTATATTTTTTTTAGCCCACGATCAACAGCAACAATTTACTTTCAGTCAAAGATTCATTTCAAAGCGGGATCGATAGGAACTTTTGCCATATCATTTGTAATGACGTATATAAGGCCTGCACAATAATCCAGCTTGTTGGGAATTAATGCAAACTGAAATCATAAGTAATTAAAAAAATTACTTAGACTCACCATATGTACCTTAATTAGATTTATTTTATGTAGTAAGTAAAAGAGATGATATATGTAATTTTAGCTCGCTAGAAATCAAAACTTGTAACTTATATGGTGATCACATTACGTTAATCACCTTTGCGAGTCGGTCATCGCTTCGTTTAGCAAGATTCATCGTGCGGGTGTCGGGTCCATCATGTTGCAGGGAGAGGAGCTTCAACAGTGACGGAAACACATTTTCAATAGTGCCTGAAAAACATTTTAAACATAAATTCTAATTATGAAGTTTTTTGTATCTTAAAAGTAACATTTCTCAAACTAAATAAAACTTATATTTTCGGATTTTACTTCGCGTTCCAAATCCGAAAAAATATTTGTTTCATTTAAATGAGTACTCGCGAAAATCTTAGATCTCATTATATTTCTCAAACTAACCAAATGTCATACAAGTGTTATGTTGTTGTATGTAGTTGCTAGCCACTTGTTATTCCAAAAAGTATCTTTGTAATTACTCTGTCAAAGTTAGAAGGTCAAGCAGGAACTGCTTATATTACTTTTATCTTAAGACGAAAAACAAACGACAATAAAATAATAATTTTGCTTTCGGTATTAAAAAAAATTAATATGGTTTCTATTTCATACTAGTTTTTCCCCGAATCGTTTTCCACGTTTATTTTGGAATTAGTAATACATATATGTATACTTGACTATTCCGCCCTATACGCATAGTCTAGTAATTGGAATTTATTAAGATTTTTATTTTTCGAAAGAACAGAATTAAACATCCCATGTCCATGTCCTTGTTCTAAGCTATCCCTCCACCCAATTTCAACCATATCCCTACAACCGTTTTGATTTATAAATAATGTAACTAACACGACTATATTTTATACATGTACTAGTTTTGTCCGCGACTTCGTCTGCGTTAGTTTCAGAGTTAGAAATGTATAGCTGACCGGGTGAATTCTATTCCTCCTTAAAGACAGTAGATAAGAAGATTTTGGATTTGTTCAACTTATTTTCTTTTCTTTTTCAATCAGATTAATAGTTTCCTATATCCTTTCAATTGTTCTCAGCTCTCCACCAATTTTCAGGCAAACCCGTATAGCCGTTCTTGAGTAATAAATAGTGAAAGTAACACGACTTTCTTTTATATACTTATAAAGAAGATTATTTAAAAAAGTAGTCTTGAAATGCTTTAGTTTTCTTTTTGTGGTTTTCTTTTTGATTATTATTTCATTAATTAATTAAATAAATAATTTCTAATACCTCAGTTACAATCAAGAACAACACGTCGTAATATCATCCACCTCCACGAGGAAGGGAGTGGGTAGCGTCCGTCTGAGAATTCAGTCCCTTCCATTACAGATATTGGGATTTAGGCCGTCTTGCACTCACTGCGAGCCCGCAGGATCGGAAGACGGTATCGCAGGTCGAGTACTGCTTAGCGCTTTGGAATACCTGAAATTAAAGGAATTATGCTGGTTGCGGAACAAAAAAGGTGTGGATAAATCTCAACTAAACGAAATCTATATCTCGCCTTGAGCGTTTTAGGGAGATTCGATTCGATTCGATTTCGTCTTATTTAAAATAGAAATACATTTTTAAGAATAGCTTGTCAAGATAGGTAAGCATTACAGTTTACTACAGAAACATAGACTGAGTGTTTCTTCTAAATTTTCTTCTTCTACCTGACAATTTCCCAGCTTTAGCCAGGGTCTGCCTTACATGTTGTGAATAGTTTTGGCTAATTGTTTTTACGACCGGCCATCTGCCTGAGATCACCCCTCTTTGGACATACATTAATCAGTGATGTTTAAATACTCTTAGAAAATACGTATGCCTCGGAAAAATCACAATGGTACTTGCCAGGGCCAGGATCGAACCCGCGCCCTCGTGTATAAGAGACGGGCCTTCTTACCCAGAGGCCACTGCTGGCTTTTTGAGTGATTCTTTTAAATATAATAAGAAAAAAATAGTAAGAGACAAAAAAGGATTAAAACTATAAAATAATATACAGTTACTTTCAACAATATTTGTAACGTGAGTGAGGTATAAAAAGTTTCATCAAAAACACATCATAATTTAGATTTCAATCACTACAATATAATTACTAAAACCTAATATACTTTTAAACATACTTTAATTTATTTCCATATATGTTACTTGGCAACAACGAATCAAAATGTTTGAATGAATAAGCTCTACCGCAATAAATATGTCTCCAATGTGTTTACAAGTAGCTGTTGGTCTGTCATGTCTTACTTTTGTAGCATATTGTGTATGTTGAGTTACAAAACGTAAGATTAAGGCGTTCTTTTGAAAATGTATAACTTTATAAATTTCTTTTTAGGGATTGGAAGTAAGACCGGAGAGGACAAAACTAGTGCATGTAAACGACAAATACTTTTATAATTTTAGCGTCGACGCAAGAAGATTTAGCAGAACCAGTCTTTATTACATGAACGTTGAAATTACGACGAAACAGACATGGGCTAATAACGTTACGGTTTGTTAAGATTGATTTACTTACCAATATAAAACACCATATTATGTTTTTGATAAATAGAATATTAATATATGGAATATTTTTCAGTTGCACTTTACCTTTAATGAGTTTCTTTATAATCAGTATCGTCGCTCCTTTGTTGTGCTACACTACAAGTTCTGTGATATGGTTAAATATGATAAATTTTTTGGACCTATCATGAACTTTATTGGCTTTAATTGCCCAATGCCACCTGTAAGTGAAAAAATGTAAATTTATTAACAAAGTTTTTTAAATTAATATTTAAAATTTATTAAGTCTAAAAAGACTAAGGAGAGTATCGGAAAATATTATCGCCAGTATTTAAAGGATTATTTTGCTTAAAATCTTCAAACTCTTTTTTTTAGCGGACACTACGAATGATCAACTTTACATTGCCTCTGGATCAATTTCCTAACGTGTTACCATTTCAGAAAGGTCGTATTGACGTCGAAGTAACTCTCACGGAAACCAATAAATCAATAGCTTTGGTGTATAACTATGTATCTTTCAAAACTACTTATCATAAGTAAATTACTTAATAACAGAGTTTAAAGTACTACATATTTGTTTTTTTTTTTCTATAAAAAAAATCTTCTTCTCTCATAGGATATATTCCAAACCCATATCCCGTGTCTAAATGTGACTTGTTATCCTTATAAGAAGAAGTTCTTATACTTCTGATACATTTTATCCTACCACGATGTCACGAAAGAAAGTCTTTAATTATTATATAAAGACCTAATTAAATAGTTTACTTTGACTCACCATGTGTATCTTAATAAGATTACCTTTAGGTAGTTAGAAAACCAGATGTAAAAAAAAATTGTAACTTATATAGTAACTTATCACATTGTGACATTAGTAATCACCTTTAGGAGTCCGTTATCGCTTCGTTTAACAGGAAATGTTGGTCGCGTATACACCTTGCGCTGAACTCCACTTTTCTTATGTTTCCGTCGGATACTGTTGAGACTACCAACGCTTCGTCTTTTGGTCTTCAATTCTGGAGTCCGCCATTCATCTGCTACTACGTCTTTGCGAACCGTCACCTACATATTCAAGAGTGGTCCTGCAATGACATTTATAAATATCATGACAAGGTTAGGTGATAATAGTTTAGCATTAATTTTTTCTATTCTTCCTTTAAGTGTCTCTCGAACAGTTCCAGTACACACCGATACTCCAAAACAACACCGAATTCATAATGTCTATCAATTTGCGTTGCACCTGTGCTAGTACAAGTGGGTTGCTTAATTTTTACTGTAATCAGCCAATTGCCATCGAAACTGACTGTTGGCAGTCGCCTTTTTGAGTCTCACTCTTGAGTCTTACTTAGTCTGGAATAGTTCAAACTGATGGGCTCCGGGGGTGAAAGAGAAGGCATCCCACTCCTCGTCCTTGGTTTCTAAAATAAAGATAACATATGAAGTTAAATGAGTACTCGCGAAAATCTTAGATCTCATTATAACATATGAAGGTATACAATTTTAAAATACAACGTCAACATCAATAGTAACGGCAAATATTTAAAGGAGAAAATAACCAAACTTCCAACTTTTTAGTTCGATGTCACTTATCAAAGATATACATTCAAAATCAACGTTCAATGTAAAACGGACAAAACGAAAACACTTTGACTTCAAACGTTCTTAAGTCACACCCGATTTCATAATCAATTTCGTCCCTATAATGAATCAAGTATCAATGTCAATTGTATCGGCAAAATTGTGTAACACAACTGTAAGCCGAGTTATCAGCACCTAACTTAAATAACTGAAAATTAATATGTAGATGTTATTCAGATTACTTGCTTGATAGCTAATGACACTTCACGACTACTTAGTGAAATTTTGTGTAAAGCAGCTAGGTAATAAAGGATCAGATATCTGAAAAAAAAGATTAAACCCACCACAACTTAAGTATTTAAATTATTGCATAAATAACTCCACAAAGCATATATTACCACAAATGTAAATAAACTATCAATTTACTTTTCTTTAATTACCCTCTTTTTCCTTTGTTAAATCACAATCAATATGAAACTATAGACTATGACAAGTTATTTCAAACGGCCAATGATATAAAATTGAAATAAATAACTATAATGATAACTATAAGCTATTAAAAATAGTATCATGTTACAATAACATATAAATAAAAAGAGTAAAATAAAAAACAAATATTAAAATCTCCATAAAGACTGAATATGTAAAAATAAAAAAATTTGACAGTCTAAATAAAAAAATCTACTAGGTATGTAACAAAATCAAGTATAATCGGGATAGTACATATAACGCTATAAAATTAATTTACAAGAAAATGAGGAGGAATGACGTAGATAATTTAAAAATAATAATATTGGACGCTGCTCTACTTCGAGCTGGCATTAAGAGTGCAACATCTTGGACTTACCACTTCCACCTACCACAGTGGTAATAAACCGTTCACACCATCATAATTCTTTCCCCCTAGTGCTAGTCTATTCCTAGTAGCCGTTCCATATGGTGTGACTTCAGTGATTGGGTGCAGATCTTTCTGGAAACACAATTTGCTGCCTCTTCTCCATGCGATATACATACTCCGGTAAATGTGTGTATAATCTATCTTCGTTGGCTTGACTCTATCGGAGTGCCATCACAATTTCCCGAAGCGGCTGTAACTATAATACTGTATACTACTGTACTGTATACTGTCTAATATATAACTATAATAGCCATACTAAAATACTGTCGCGCCGGAATGAAGAACGGCTTAGTAAATACTGTACAATATTCTCGACATGGAGCGGCAGTGCCATTTCGTGACTAGTCAACAATGCTATTAGATAAACGTTTACTAGAAAACTACTATCGTTCATGTTAATAGAAACAAGTAGAAATATAAACGGGATGTTTTGGAATGTTCTAATAATAATAATAATAAATAAAGAAATAAATAATCGGATTGTCATGTACAAAAGGGCCGTGTAAGAAGCGACATAAAAGCGTTACAGAAGCTTTTTTAATGAAGTGAATATTTGTGCTTTCTATTAAATTCCGTGTATATTGCTAATCAAGCAACAATACATAAACCGAGACTTTTTCTATGAACTGTAGGTTTTAATTCATACAGTATGTTTTGATTTAAAAAATCATTTTTTCATATCTAGTCTTATAATTTACAGCAAACCCAACACTGTATATATTATATATTTCGTCAAACCTTCCACAGTTCTTCTCTAACAGGCCTGAAATCGTAACGGAGTTAACTACTAAGTAGTCGTGGTTGGAATATTGCTTGATTCGCCATATATACTATTATACACAAATGTTATAATATAATAATGAATACACAATATAACATTAAAAGCAAATCATAATTTAGACTTCAATTTATAATGCTACAATCATTAAAACCAAATATCCTTTTAATCATAATTAATTTCATTTTCAAATATGTCATTTGGGAATATCGAATCAACATGTTTATATGAATGGGCGTTTCAATAAAAAAATATGTCTCAAATGTGCAGACTTGTAACTCTGGGACTATCATTTCTCATTGTAGCAGTATATTGTGTAAGTAAATTTACAAAACAAATATGTACATAGCGTTACGATAATCTAAAGATGAAAAGTTACGAACCTCACATTTCATTTTAGGGGGTGGAAATTGTACCAGAGCGGGCGAAAGTGGTGTATATGAATAAAAAGTACTTTTATAATTTAAGCCTTACCGTCAAAAGATATAGCAGAAACGGTCGGTTCTACTTCAACGTTGATCTTACTACCAAACAGACGTGGACAAATAACGTGACGGTATGTTAAGATTGATTTAGTTAATAATATATCAAATACCACCTACACTTTATGAATATGAATTTTCGTGTCTTCATATAGTTGTAGTAAGCCTTACAAGGGCTCTGTACCAAATTAATTAGGGGGGCCCAAATGGAGGGCAAATATTTTTCCAAAAAAAACGAAAACGCTGGCATAAAACGATTAAGTGATTTCAATTGTTACAACGGAGATTTGAT